CCCTCTCTCTCTCTATCCCTCTCTCTCTCTCTGTCTCTCTCTCTCTGTCTCTCTCTCTCTCTGTCTCTCTCTCTCTGTCTCTCTCTATCTCTCTCTCTGAAAACAGAACTTCTCTTCGATTTTATTTCTTGTTTCGTTTCGAGCCCAAACGCCAAGTATATCCGTTAATATTTTAACCTCTGGCTTACCTGTTGTTATCACCTGTGACGCATGCGCAGAGACAAAGGTAAGAAAGCACTTCCTACTTCCGACAAGGAACTGCAAGCAGCCAGGAGTTCGAATGTTTACATCGTAAGTTTTGGGTTGAAAAGTCTGTCTCGACTTTGTAGAATGAAATACAATGCCTTTTGGCTAAGATCAAAGTGTAGTAGATTTATCTGTTCTCAGCTTCTCCTCCGGCCTTGTGCCCACTGGTGTAGCGAGGCGGATACTGCCCGAGGCACCCGGGGGACGGAGAAATCTGCCCCTCTTTTCTTTTCAATCGAGTGGACGGCTATATTATCGTCCATTAGATTTCTAGATCTAGATTTTTTTATTTTTTTTTAAAGAATGAAATACAATTGTAGAATCTATATTTTAGATCTAGATCTAGACTTTATTGCTTTTTGTGAGGTCTAAAAATCAACATTGTAGACCTATGTGTGTTAGAGAACAATGTTCGGGTCCAGAATCTAGATCTAGATTCGGTAATTGTTTACTTTCTCGCGTTTAATTCCCGGGGAGGACTTCCGTAACGAGGGACCACTCTGAACTCTTTGAATGTCAATGGCACAATGGCCATCAAAATCTGTACAGAATGTCTAAACTTTAGACTAAAGCCAGTATGTTACAAGACTTAGATTTAGAGTAATATTACCGGTTCGGTCAAAATAAGGACGAAAACAGGCATGTCGACTTTAACCCTCATCCTGCGGGAGCCGGGTTTATGTAGCCCGATAAGCCTATTTCGGCACCTCGCCTGCGTTCTGGTCCCGAGTCAGTATAGCTCCTGGCTCAGCGCACGTGCAGCGCGCATCCTCTTACGTGTCATTCGGGTCCCGAGTCGGATCCCCATTCACGCAGGTTAAGTGTGTGTGCGTCAGTCTGCTTGAGTTTGTGTGCGTTTGTGGCCTTCTTCTAGAACCACCTGTGTTGGTTCGTAATGGAGGCATACGTCTCATTCAAAACATGCCAAGTTGATAGCTCTAGATTTTCATCCAATGAAATTATAGAAGAAATTGACCCACTTAGACATGAGGAGCTCGAAAGGATAGTCAGGAAACAAGACTTCCATTTTTTCTATACAAAATATTTCAAATGAGCTTGATTTTGTATGAAATAATACTACCTGATAAAAAATGAGCCTGTTTGATAGTTTTGAATACCCTTGTGCAGGTACAAAGAACAATTTGAGTGTAAAACATTCGGAAATTGACCTAAATTATCCCTTTTCGAACCTCAGGTCATTCATAACAACAAGAGCGTCCAGAAAGGTTATTCAAATGGGCGTAACTACTCGTAATGTCTTATCAGCTTGTGAAAGGGGGTTATTCATGTGTTTGTAACACTTTATAAATAGAATGCTATGAAGGACAGAGCATTATTTTCATCATCAGTTAACACACTCCCGCGGTATTCATGGCGAAAACACACGTTTCCCGGCGCGCGCGCTGTACACCAACAGTACACACTGAGTGACCCCGGCGGCCTGCACGGCGAGTCCGACGTAATCGGTTGCTGATAAGATACGCATCTGGGCACAGACGCAGGATAAGAGTTAAAGCTTTATATCTCCTATCTGCCTTGCCCTAGAAAAAAACCGAAACCAGCTACAGGAAGTCATGTGATTGGATGACCCCAGGAATGACCTGTTTCAGCTTGTTCTCATGTTTGAGGCCCTTACTGGGTGCAAAAGTGACGCCCGATTTATTTATGAGTTCAGTCGCATTTTTTTGGTTTTCTCATGGATTCGGGCAGTATTTTGACCTTCGGTCATTTTCAATTATTATCACATTTGTTTCTTTGCAAGCTTAATAACATGATTTTTAATGTTTGTTATCAACACTTGGACACAATGATAGTTTGTCTAAAGTGGTATTCACCATTTATAGCTATTTTAATGAGTATGTATCTGACCCACTCTACTACGTGGTATCTGACTCTACTACACTGGCATCTGGCTCACTCAACTACACTGGATCTGACTCGGCTACACTGATATCCGACTGTATTACACACTGGTATCTGACTCTATTACTCTGGTGTCTGACTGAGTTAATATGCTGTATTTGGCTCTACTATTATTTAAATTATGCACAAATTCTTTATTCTTTGTTATATAACCATTGGCTCTATATTATCTTATGTGCCCGAAGGATGAGAAACTACGGATTTTATGTTACAATCCGGGCACCCCCCCTTTGGGCAAAAATGGCGAGACTAAACGGCAAATTCTCTTTCATCCTTGACAGGGCCTCATATGCAAATAACTCTCCAGCCTTCAGAGTCTACCAAAACGTAGAATCTAGGTCACAGGCTCCTTCATCCACAACCAATGTTAACTCTTCCGGGGAAAGAGCTTCACGCTGTTTTGCTCAGTTGATGAAGAAAAAGCTGTCTTAAGGACTATTTTTAGCAAAATATCGCCGTAACTGTTGTTTCAACGAAAGTAAGGGAGGTTGCTTTAGGTTTGTGTGCCACTCTTTTGGGGCTAGATTTGAAAACAAAGTTTTAAACGATCTTTTTGTACTCCAGTGCCCGACAGCAAAAAAAAAACGTGCTGCCCGAACCGGTACAATTACTCTAGATCTACCTCTACAAATGATTAAATTTCCGTGGTTTACGTGTATTCTTAATCCCAACGCAAAGTTTTGAATATATCCAGTCGGGGAAGCATAGAGTCTTATCTAGATCTAGATCGTCTAGATCTAAGCAGGCGGGAATTAAACGCGAGAAAGTAAACAATTGCCCTAGATTCTAGTTGGACGAACTTTTAGATTCCAGGACGGAAAGAAGGAGCCGGTTTTATCACACAACACTCAGCCTGCGTTTATTTATTGATCACCTCTCTAATATTCACCCGGGATGAGAGGGGGTGAGAGGGCGAGCCTTTTAGCTATCGAAGTGGCTAGGAAAAAAAAAGTACGGCTAGACTGCCAGTCTAGCCGTACTTATCTTAGGCCCTATTAACATTAGAAAACAGGAGGTTTAAAATACATGCACTGTCATTAAGGTAAGGCGCCTGGTTTCGTCTCAAATACAAAAATACTTTAGGAGGTACTGCACACTAAAAATGTATATTTACAATTCAGTAGGCCTATTTTTTGGAAATGGTCAGTCTAGCCATCATATTAAGAATAAGTACGGCTAGACAGTCTAGCCGTCATTAAGTACGGCTAGTCTCTTCCTTTAGCTATTCTTACCCGGTGTGCGTTCTCCGTGATACCAGTATACAGTAAACACATGTTCCAGCGCTCTTGGCTCTTGTGTTGAAAGTGTGCAATTTTGTCTGCAGGCGGTGAGAAAGAGAGAGAGAGGGGGGGGGAGGGGGGGGAGAAAGAAGGAGTATAGAGAACTTCCGGGCAAAACAAAATGATGACCGGCGTAATTCGGCTTAATTCGAAAAGTGAAATGAACATCTTACAGTCAGATACACTCAGAGCTCTATCAAGGGTACGAGAAGAAGATGGTACGACTCTCGCATTCCAATTTTAGATTTTAAAAACTGGGGGAGACCCATACTTGAAGTTTACAAGTTGTATGGTTTTCTAGATATCTTTATCGGTGAGCTGTTAAGATATAGATCTATAAGTACCGAGCCCAAATTTAATTAAATTTTTTTCAAATTGCAGTTTCTAAATCTGTGTTATTGGTTGCATTTGCTCGAGGAATATTTTGTCGAAATTCAAATTATAAATTATGTTGAAAAAAGCCAGAAAAAATGCATGATATAGGATCTATTTGTTGAAAGAATGAAACAGTTTGTGGTTGTTTTTTTAAACTTTCCTGTAAAATTTTGCTTTCTAAGCTTACTACACTTGTACGGCTTGCCGACATATATATTTCTTTACAAGGATGGGATTTTGCCGTAAATTTACGGAAATCCCTAATTTTGATTTGCTCCGCCATTTTCCGTAAGTGTCCTTTCAATGGTGAGTCATTCTACTATATATATATTTAGTAATCCACAATTGAATGAGTGTATTAATTTTTCCAAGTCTGTTTAGCCCGCGAAAAGTTGAGTAAATTTTGGACTGATCAGTTTCCATGCCTGGCTAATTTAGTTAATGATATTATTGTCCTGTATGAAACCAATGACTGATGACTGATGTCATTTTAAAACCACACCTCCATTCCCCCCATTGAGGGGTTGGCGGGTGCTCTGGTGTGGTTTGCTTCTTCTTCTTCTTCTTTCCTATCAAACATCTATCGTCTTTATCTCCCTTCCTTCTTTTTTTGTCTTTGTTACCAGGGTTGGGTTGATTTAAATCAGTTGATTTTTTAAATTTAAATCAACTTGATTTTTAAAAATAAAAATCAGTGATTTAAATCACTTTTTAAAAAAATTATTTTTATTCGGTTTTTACACATTTCAACATTCAGAATTCCTTTCCTTGGTTTCATAAAACAGATATAAGGTTTAGTAGACTAATATAATCATGCTTAAAAGTCTGATTTCCCTTCTTTCACTGTAAAATAATACAGTATTCAATTTACTTTTTTTTTCATAATTGAAATTAGCATTTTCTTTTTCTTGTTCTTTTTAGACAAACACAAGCGCGTGCTCACACACACACACACTGTAATAAAAATAAAATGCAAGTTTATCTATGCATAATTACCCCCCCCCCCCTTCCTTTTAGACTGAAATTTTCTTCAATTTTTGTCTGTAGCCTTAATTCACTGATATAGCAGATTAAGGCTTTCTAAAATTGCAGTTGCTTAAATTAATCATTAGTTAAAATAAAGACAATGCATTTTGCACTAAAAGAACATACTTTTAGCCACCGAAAATCCCAAACTGTGTCGACATTTTTAAAAAAATCAAATAAATTTTTAAAAATCCGATTTAAATTTTAAAAAATCTGATTTAAATTTTAAAAATCACCAACCCTGTTTGTTACTTTCTTGTAACACCTGTAATCTTCGGCACTTATATGACCTTATTGTGTTGCAAGTACTGTAAAATGATTTTAACTAAAATAAAACGTCCTTGCCTTCTATCTGCCATGACAGGTAACTGCTGAGATCGACGTCACATATCCCACACCACCAAGCGCCAGCGACACTCCCACCAGGTGGCCACCATGTCTACCCCGGGGTACCCCGCCTACTACTATGGCGACTCGCAGACGGGCAGCGTCTCCAACTTGAGCGAGGGCGGAGGCATGAAGAGATACGCCTCCAAGTCCAGCATCGCGGGCGGGCAGAGCCTCACAGGCTCCAGGTGAGGACACTGGCTGCTCGCTATTCTGACTTTTCCACATAATTTTTTTTTACGGTACTTCAAAATGCAGTATTTTACCTTCTAGAAAAAGATAGTTGTGTCTCGGCGTGGTGGAATCAGACGCTTGGCAATCATTGAGCATGTGGAGGTAATTGTATCATTTTAAAGTTTTTTCATTTGTCTTGCTTTGGATGAAAAAAATATCCATTTGTGAGGCAGCAGGGTGGAATCTGGCTCTCGTCAAAATAATCAAAGTGAAGAGACTTGCATTTTTCTGAAGGTTTATTAATTTTTATCAAATTTTAGTTTTTTGGCTCAGCACCTTTCATGCTCATTAAAGAAATCATTTCTGAGTGGATTTTTCTTAGCAACGTTGATTAAAGGCTCAAAAATTTTAATTTTCAGTTACCACGGACCCCTAAGCTAAGGAAATAACTAATCTTTTGTGGCCATTTTCTGACTAATTTTACTTCTGAAACCAGTCGATCCATCTCCTTCAATTGCGAATATGTCAACTTCTATTCAAGATTTTTGGATATTTTTTTCATCAAAGGCAAGACAAATGAATGACCTTTAATTAAGGTGATACCAATAACTACATATGCCCTAAAATTGACGAGAGCCTGAGACTGTACTTTCCAACTCGCAGTTTAAGGTCATCATCTGACAAAAAGAAATTTCTTTTTTTACCATCTATGAAACTTAAAACAATGGGTGACAGGGCATTTGAATACCAAGGCCCCAAGATCTGGAATGCTTTCCCTAGTACTTTAAGGGAGGTCAAGTGTTTTGATTCATTCAAAGTCAGCTGAAGTCATTTCTGTTTTTAGATTAATAAGATGAATATTTGGAGTGTTTTTCTTTTAGTCACATCCCGATTTATGTTACTGTTGTATGTTGTACTGAATTGTAAAGCGCTCAGAGCCTGTGTACTTTAATCGGGTTGAGCGCTGTATAAATGTCATTTATCATTATTATTATTATTATTGTTCCACTGCCTCGTGACATATATATGAGACAAAACTGTGTTCTTTCCAACCCCCCCTCCCCCAGGTGGCTGCTGTATGGCAGTCGCCGCAGTGTGTACTCCACCTACACCATATCGTCTGCTTTTGTCTCCTCGTTCTGCCCCACCCCCTCGCCTCCTTTATCCTCTCCTCTGTGCTCCTGACTCTTTCTTACTGCTGCCTTTCAGCCACACCCCTGATCTTCTGGTAGGAAAGATCTACACCTAGCCTTCTCGGACAAGAGCGAAGAATCTCGGAGGTCCCGTGTGCAAGTTGCGCACATTAAAGATCCCTTTGTGGTCTTAAATCTATAAGAGTAGGCTTCGGCCGCCACCGAGGCTAAATTCAAAATTTCCTACCTACTGAAAATGTTAAATGTGTCTCGTGCGCTCATTTGACCTAATGCAGTTGCAAGCGCATAAAACACTTACCCCCCCTCCCCAAAAAATCCCCCCAGACAATTTTGATTATTGTATTCTCTCTCCTCTTGTACCCCACAAATTCTCTCTATACTATATATATATATATTATATATATATGTAACAAAATTGTGTTGTGCCCCCCAGGTCGCTGCTGTACGGCAGTCGCCGCAGTCTGTACTCCACCTACACCATGTCTGGCATGTCCTACGTCCTGCCCATAGTGGCCAAACAGCCCGACCCCTGGCGACGACCCCCGGACAACTGGCCCATCGCCTTCCTCTCCATCTTCATCAACCCCATCTTTGGGGTCTTCGCCGTTCTTCTCGCTGGTAGGTGGCTTTTCTTTGCGGTGTTTCGTGGCATGTTTGCACAAGTTTCACAGACTTTTCCTCTTCAACCCTTTGAGCCCTAGCCCCCGGTACACCGGTGGTGCGGAAACAAAATTATTTTTTTTTAAATTAGTGGGTGGTTGGCGGGTGCTCTGGTGTGGTTTGCTCCTTCATTCCAATAAAAAATCTTCTATATCTCCCCTCCTTCTCTTTTGTGTTTTTTTACTCTCTTGAAACACTTCTAATCTTCGGCACTTATATAACCTTATTGTGTTGCAAGTGCCGTAAAACTCTTACTAAAACTAAAACTTTTTTTGTTTGTTTCTCTCTTGTAACACCTCTAATCTTCTGCACTTATATGACCTTATTGTCTTGCAAGTGCTGTAAAACTCTTACTAAAACTAAAAAGAAGATCCTTCTGAATTGGATGCTGGTAATGACGAGGACTACCCTGAGTGGGATATGGAATGTGGTTCTGACGATCGTATGAATGTTTGTAATATATCGCTCAGGAGCTCAGGCAGAGGGGCACGGTAACCTCCGGAGGTCACAGCTCAAAGAGTTAAAGAACCGCCGAAAGTGAAGGTTTTTTAAAATCAAATATGACTAAAGTGGCCGACCTTTCTCGATATAACACGACATATCCTCTGTAAGCCATTGAAGTTCTTTCATCGAATTATATAACATTGTTTGCATTCGAGATAACATTATATCATTTTTTACCCTTTCCTGTTTATTTAAAGTTATTATGAATCTGATTCTGTGTTTTGTACGTTTAACAATCATCCCTCTTTGTTGAATTGAAAGCCAAGCGATATTGTAGTATGGTTTTAAAGTTGAGAAGAAAAAAAAAGAATTCCAACAAGTATCCAGACAGTAAATAGTAAGGGAATTAAATTGTTGTACAAACAACTCAAAACAGCCGCCCATTGTCGAGGGGAAAAGTGGTTGTCTCAGACAGGTGGAAGTTTGACTCAGACAATGCCATTAGTACAGTAATAATAATAGATAGCATTTGTATAGCGCATATCCCCGCTCAACAGCAGGCTCTATGTGCTTTACACTATATTATTACCCCAGCAGACCATAGAACACTCCGAAACATTCTCAGCTTCCCGGGAAACATACAGTGCAAGCAGCTGATTAAGCGCTCAAACACTAACAAACTGACAAGATCTTTCGCTGTCTATAGCTGGGTACCCATTCCCACCTGAGTGAAGTGAGGAAAATTTGTGTAAAGTGCCTTTCCCAAGGACACAACGTCGGGCCCCTGACGGGATTCGAACCCACGACCTTACGGTTGCGAGTCCGAGAGCCTAACCACTAGGCCACCGTACATGTATATTCAAAAATGCCAGGAGGGAAATGCGAAGTGGTGGTGTGTACAGGTCATTGTCTTGGACAGGTGGCCGTTAGGGCAGGTGCGACTGTATTTGACTTACTGGTGCAGTTATCAAAATGACAGCGGTAGAAGTACTGGTATGATTAATCAAATTACAGTAGTCTCCGCCTAAGATCCCACCGCTTACGATCCCGGTTCGCTTAAGATCCCGCTGTTTTAAGAAAACAAAATTTTTGCTATACAAAAGTCACCCATAAGATCCCGCTCTGATTCACTATGAAGGTCAACATTCGGCTAAGATCCCGCATTTCAGATCATAATTTGCGGAACAAAAACGCGGGCAGGACAGCCGATCAACCAAGAGTGAAAAGTTGAGATCAATATAAAATGTCAGTCGCGTCAAAGATCAGCGACTATCAGGAATGTGATCACATACACGTTGTAAAACTCGATGAAGCGATACAATGTTTGCACCAGACGGGATCACACCGGGGTGTGAACTGACCGACACGTTTGTTTTCCCTGAACATCGCTCTCACACCTGAGCTATCCCCCTAAACTTACATCACTCGCTGGGTGGGTAGGGCCTACACCTTCGCTCCAGGCGGGATCACATTGAACTGTGAACTCTTCCTCGACCATTAGCACCTGTCTCTACTCCCGAATTTGCGAGACAGACTGAATTTTAATTGGTGTGTTCACAACGTAATGGTGTGTAACGACAAAGGCGGTTTGGGGGGGGGGGGGGGGGGGCTCAGTCAGAGAAGAAAAAGCTGTAAATTTATGACAGGTAAAGGGGGGGGGTATCTGGAAAAGCGTAGATCTTGAGACTCATGATAGGATAATAAGTGAAAAAGGCTCGCCTCATGCCCCTATGCACTGCGATAGGTCATCAAAGTTAACCACTCTTCGCTCGCCATATGCCATAAACCCATCAAGGGGGCACGCCAGTTCATTGTAGAGTGGAGGGAGACCATTTTACCGATTGTGAGCCTTAGCATGAGTCGCCATAGATTCTTCCCTGGGTTCATCTGTTAAGATCCCGGTTCGCCTAAGATCCCGCATTTCCTTGCTCTCGAGCACCGGGATCTTAGGCGGAGACTACTGTATATTATTCAGAAATCAGTATTATTTGATCAATTATTTGATCAATGTTTGTCTTTTGTATAAAAAAAAAAAAGAAGAAGAAGAAGAAGAAGAAGAATTTAATATGAAAAAAGCAGGGTTTTTTGTTAAAATGTGTGGGAATCTTATCTATTTAGATGATGAGAATTCAGCAATATATTATTTCTTCATCCTCATACTATAAATATGTCAGCTAAGCGTTACTTTACATTTTTACTCTCAAAGTAGAGTTGCTGGAGTCTATGCAGTAGATAAATGAAGAATAGAAATCTTTACTTTTCTCAAAATTGGAAGAATGGATATGTTGCATAATTGTTTATATAATATAATCAAATATAACTATAACAATGCAAGGAGTTGCTAACTTTTTATTTGAACTACCATTTATTTATGTGAATTCCTGTGTTACATATATATATGTAATCCTATACATGTAAGAATAAACAATGCAAAGAGTTTCTAACCTTTAGTTTGAACTACCCCCCATTTATTTATTTGTGTGAATCCCCCCCCCCCACCCCCCACCTTTCCCAGAGCAATCCAAGATCTACTACGCCCGCTGCAACTACATGAAAGCCTCGCAGTACGGAGCGTACGCTAAGGGCACGGCGGCCGGGGGCGTCTACTGCACGGTCATCGTCTTACTGTGGATCATCGGGGCGGTCGTCAACGAGAGAATGAAGTACGATATCTGACCTCGCTCGACCGTCTTGTTTTTGTTCAGGAAAAAAAATGTGAAGTATGCTGACAAAATGAGTTGCCTCTCGGATTCAAGCCTTTAGGAAATATATACATCACTCTTACGGGTGAAATTTTAGCAATTTGTAAGTATGAAATAATAAAAGACAGGTTATAGAACTTGTTAAAGAATATGACATCAATAGAAAAACTACAAATTTGACCCTAATGTCTATTTTTGGCCAATATCTCCATTTGCGGATTGCGAGAAGTATCTCATTTTGTCAGCAGGCCTCACTAATGCTAGAACTAGAGGACTCGGGGGGGGGAAATTGTTGTTTCAAACTGTGCACCTTGAGGTGTCCTCAGGTGTTACCGTGGAGCAATGGTGTCAGATCGGTTTGTTTGACTTGGCGGTTATCTAGACAAAGAATAAAAATGAAATAATTAAATGAATTACCTACTATACATTTTATTGATCCCTGTAAGTCACTTTGGGTTACGATGGCATAAATTTTTTTACGCAATAATGTATTTTTATCTTTTAAAGAAAAAACTCTATGAAAAGTTGAGTATTTTAGAAAGTGGACTTGTTTTTTAAAAATAAGCTTTGATCTTGTTTTTTTTACTTTCAAGGCATTCTTTTCGTCTGACATAATTTGTTCAGGTACAACTCAGAATGATGCCGTGAAGCTCATAGATTTTGATCACCTGATACTTAACAAAGAGCATAACTTGTAGTAATATCGATGGTGCCACATTCCTCATTGTTCCTGTTCCGTTCACCCTCATGACTGTAAATTCATTCCAAACATAATAATATGCTTCATTCTGACCCACACATTCCAGACATTACAATGTTAATAAGAATTATGCAAAGTAGTATGTTTGTATCAATATGTTACTTTGTCTATATGACATGGTCGGTTATAGAGGTGTTCCTGTTTTAAGATGATAATGCAAGTATTGCAAGTCATGTTGATCTCAACTATCTGGCTGAATTGACTGAAACTTATTTTGGCATACTGATTCGATTTTGGTTCTGAAAGTTTAAAAGAAATGTTCTTATATTTTGGTTGAGTTAGGGTGTAAATTTGGGTTTCAATGGCATAAATACACAATCATATGTTTATCTTTTAAAGAAATAACTATTGCATTGTGTATTGTATTTTGCCTTTGAAGTTTACGGGGAAAAAAGGAGAATGTTTTCAGATTTCTTCAGCGTCAAAGTGACAGTAAAAATTTAACTTTCTTTATGCTCAAACTGTTTTTGTGACATTCCCATAAAACAAATTTCACGACCTTGTTCATAATTACGTGTAAATAAAGTTTTTATGCAAAAAAATCACTGTTGTGTCTTTTTTGGGGGGATAAATAATTGTGATTGTCCTGTGGGTTAAATGATAGTGGATAGTTTGTGCCAAACTTTTTCATGAGAGACACCTGTGTTGTGGAGGGAGGAGGAAGGGAGCTCTGTAGCTTTATCATAAAAATCACTTTTACTTTTATTAAATCTAATCTAGATGCAACATTTTTTTTGACACAAAAATGGTCGACTATTAATGCGTGGAGCTGTGGCATTTGTGATGCCCTGACTGATAAAAGAATTGACAGTTTTGTTTTTATTTTACCATAATATACTTGGCTTTTGAATAGTGCAGATGATAGCTAATTAGAGATTCCCTGTCTAGAATCAGTAGTAATATGCTAGAAGCAGCCAGAGAGCCTATATCTGCTAGATCTAACTTGCTATGCCTTTGGGCTTTGGAATTAAAATAAAATTTGAATTACACATGAGTTCTAGTTAATTTTAGATTCATACTAACAAAATTTATCGTAACAATCATTTTTACTTTTATAAATCTAGATCTAGATCCAACATTTTTTCAACACAGAAATGGTCAACTGTTAATTAATGCGTGCGGCTGTGGCATTTGTGATGCCCAGACTGACAGCAGAATAGACAGTTTTGTTTTTATTTTACCATATATTTGGCTTTTGAATAGTGCAGATGATAGCTAAATCTAGATTCCCTGTCTAGAATCAGTAGTAGTATGCTAGAAGCAGCCAGAGAGCCTACATGCTGCTAGATCTAACTTATTGCTATGCCTTGGGCTTTGGAATTTAAATAAAATTTGAATTGTACAGTTCTAGTTAATTTTAGATTCAGCATCTAACTACATGTATATTTTCCAGAGTTCATACTAACAAAATTTATCATAACAATCACTTTTACTTTTCGAAGTGGCTAGCCGTACTTAAGTACGGCTAGACTACCAGTCTAGCCGTACTTATCTTAGGCCCTATTAACATTAGAAAACAGGAGGTTTAAAATACATGCACTGTCATTAAGGCACCTGGTTTCGTCTCAAATACAAATACTTTAGGTACTGCACACTAAAAATGTATATTTACAATTCAGTAGGCCTATTTTTTGTAAATGGTCAGTCTAGCCATCATATTAAGAATAAGTACGGCTAGCCTGTGAGTCTACCCGTACTTAAGTACGGCTAGACTGCCAGTCTAGCCGTACTTATCTTAGGCCCTATTAACATTAGAAAACAGGAGGTTTAAAATACATGCACTGTCATTAAGGCACCTGGTTTCGTCTCAAATACAAATACTTTAGGTACTGCACACTAAAAATGTATATTTACAATTCAGTAGGCCTATTTTTTGTAAATGGTCAGTCTAGCCATCATATTAAGAATAAGTACGGCTAGACTGTGAGTCTAGCCGTACTTAAGTACGGCTAGACTGCCAGTCTAGCCGTCATTAAGTACGGCTAGCCTCTTCCTTTACTTTTATTAAATCTAGATCCAACAGGGTTTTTTTCTAAAATCTCTTTTGCACAAACTTACTAGTAGAGAACAGAGTTTATAAGCCTCTGCTTCGACTTTCAGTACAAAATAATTTTACGTTATTATTTTCTGGATATTAAAAAAAAATGTATGTTATCAAATTGTGCCATTTTCTTGGATAAGAATAGCATTGGAAGTGGACTTTGTAGACAGCGAATCTCTGACTCAATATTTTTTTGTAAGTTGTGCTAATCAATGAAAATTGATAATAGATCTACTGAAAACAATACAGCCGTCATGAATAATAGTGAAAAAAATGTGTGGGGAAAAAAGATGTAGGTCTAGATGAGCGACCGGCAGCAGGTTCCCTCGTTGTCTCTGATCGTTCCGTCCTCATCTCCCCAGATTTCTGCACGGTGTGCAGCCATGTTTGTGTGGGCGTAGGCGTACATACACCACACAGGTCAAGAGGTTACGGTGTTCGCCTCTCATGTACATGTACAGAATACCTGGGATGAGCTAAAAATATATTATGGATGAGCTAGAAAAAACTGGGGATGAGTTTAGAAAATATTAGGGATGGGCTAAAAAAAATACTGTGGATGATTTAGAAAATATGAAAATAGTATGGATAAGCTAGAATTAAAATACTGGGGATGAGCTAGAAAAAATTCGGAATTGGTTAGAAAATGAGCTAGCTAGAAAATACTGGGGATGAGCTTGAAACTATTGGGCATGAGCTAGAAAATACTGGGGAATATTGAGGACGAGTTTAAAAAATACTGGGCATGAAGGTAGAAAATACTGGGGATGGAACTAGAAAATAGTGGGGAATATTCGGGATGAACTGGGAAATACTAGGGCTGTAGATAAAATAGTGGGGAATATTCAGGATGAGCCAGAAAGTACCGGGGAAAATTAGGGGTGAGATTTTAAAAAAAGTCTGGAAGATATTGGGGATGAGCTACAAAATACCCGGAACACTGGGGTTGGAACTAAAAAATACTGGCGAAGGATCTACAAAATATTGGGATGAGCTAGAAAATACTGCGGATGTGTTCGAAAATATAAGGGATAAGCTTTAAAATGTTAAGGATGAGCTAGAAAATACTGGGGATGAGCTAGAAAATATTACGGATGAGGTAAAAAAAAATTAAAGGGTATAAAAAAATATGCTAGAAAATACTACGAATAAGCCATGAAATAATAGGGATGAGGTAGAAAATATTAGGCACGAATTAGAAGATACTGTGGAATAATCTGTCCCCGTCGTTTTATGCAAGAAAAATTCTTAAATTATGCAAACTGAGCCCAAAAATGTGAAATTTTGCGATTCTGTTAATTTTAACAAAGAGTGATAATGATAAAGGAAAATAATCAGGAATTATGCAAAAAATGATCAAATTTTGCTAAATTATGCGGGGTGCATAAAACAACGGGGACAGAATAATGGAGATGAGACAGAAAATACTGGGAATGAGTTAGAAAATACAGGGAATGAGCTAAAAAAAATACTGGGGATGAGCTAAAAAAAAAAATGGGGATGAGCTAGACAATATTAGGGTTGAGCTAAAGAAATACTAGAGATCAAGAGCTAGAAAATACTGGGGATGGAGCTGGAAAATACTGGAGATGAGCTAGAAAACATAGGCCTCAGGGATGAGCTAGAAAATACTGGTGATGAGGTAGAAAATACAGGGGGAAAGCTAGAAAATGTTGATGTAATAAAAATTAAAATATTTTGGATGAGCGAGGAAATATTAAGGATTTAAAAATATTGGGGATAAGATAAACAATGTTGTGGATTAGATACAAATAGAAAAATCTTTGAAATATTGTTGATCAGCTAAAAATTATAAGGGATGAGCTGGGGAAATACTGTGGAATATTTGGGATAAGCCAGAAAATAGTGAGGATGGGCTAAAAAATACTGGCAAATTTGTGGATCAGCTAGAAAATACTGGGAATGATCTAGAAATGAGAAATAATAAAAATATTGGGGATGAGCCAGAAAATACTGGGGATGGAGCTAAAAAATACTGAGGATGAGCTAGAAAATATAAGTCATGAGCTAGAAAATATAGTGGATGAGCTAGAAAATATTGGGGATGGAGTTTTTAAAAATACTGGGAATGAGCTGAAAAATATAAGGCATGAGCTATAAAATACTGGGGATAAGCTAGAAATATATTAGGGATGAGCTAAAAAATATTGGGGATGAGGTAAAAAAAAATATAAGAAAGGAGCTAGAAAATACATGTACTGGGGATTCTAGAAAATATTACGGATGAGCTAAAAAAAAAAAAAATATGAGTGATGTACTAGAAAATATTATGAGTGAGCTATAAAATACTGGGGATGAGCTTGAAAATATTAGGGGCGAGATAGGAAATACTAGGGATGAGCTAGAAAATATTAGGGGCGAGATAGGAAATACTGGGGATGAGCTAGAATCTACTGTGGGTGAGATAAAAAAACAAAACATGTATTACTAGGAATGAGAAATAAAAGTCTGGAAAAAAAATGGAGACTACAAAATCCTGGGGAACACTGGGGCTGGAATTACAAAGTACTGGGGATGGATCTACAAAATATTGGAGACGAGCTAGAAAATACAGGGGGAACACTGAGGATGAGCTAGAAAATACAGGGGAACACTGAGGATGAGCTAGAAAATACAGGGGAACACTGAGGATGAGCTAGAAAATACAGGGGAACACTGAGGATGAGCTAGAAAATACGGAACACTGAGGATGAGCTAGAAAATACAGGGGAACACTGAGGATGAGCTAGAAAATACAGGGGAACACTGAGGATGAGCTAGAAAATACAGGGGAACACTGAGGATGAGCTAGAAAATACAGGGGAACACTGAGGGTGAGCTAGAAAATACAGGGGAACACTGAGGATGAGCTAGAAAATACAGGGGAACACTGAGGATGAGCTAGAAAATACTCGGGATGAGCTAAAATTACTAGGGATGAGCTAGAAATTAAAAGGGATGAGCTAAAACACATTGGGGATGAGTTACAAAATAATAGGAATGAGCGAGAAAAATGGTAGGGAATATTACTTGGGACGAGCTAGAAAATATTAATGATGAGCTGAAAAATAATATATTATTAGTGAAGAGCTTGAAAATATTAGGGATGAGCTACAAAATATTAGGGATAACCTAAAAAATATTTCGGTTGAGCTATAAATACTGGGAGTGGTTTAGAAAATACTGATGATGAACTTGAAAATACTGGGGATGAACTAGAAAATACTGGGGATGAACTAGAATATACTGGGGATGAACTAAAAAGTACTGGGAATGACCTAGAAAGTGCTGGGGGTGAGTTAGAAAATAGTTTGGATTATTTAAAAAATATTTGGGTTGAGCTAGAAAATACTGGGGATGAGCTTGAAAATATTATGGTTGAGCTATAAAATGCTGGAAATGATCTAGAAAATAGTGGGTATGATCTAAAAAATATGGCTGAGCTAGAAAATTGAATGAATTAGAAAATACTAGCGGTGAACTAAAAAATAGTTGGAATGG